TGATTTTGGACCACATACTATACTATGAAGTTTTTTTCATGATTTTGGAGGACATGCTATACTACGTATTTTTTTCATGATTTTGGACGACATGCTATACTATGACTTTTTTTTCATGATTTTGGATGATATACTATAGTATGACTTTTTTTCATGATTTTGGACGACATACTATACTATGACCTTTTTTTCATGCTTTTGGATGACATGCTATAGTATGACGTTTCTTTTGATGACTTTGGACAACATGCTATAGTATGACGTTTTTTTTGTTGATTTTGGACCACATACTATACTATGAAGTTTTTTTCATGATTTTGGAGGACATGCTATACTACGTATTTTTTTCATGATTTTGGACGACATACTATAGTACGCATTTTTTTCATGATTTTGGACGACATACTCAACTATGACTTTTTTTCATGATTTTGGACGACATGCTATACTATGAAGTTTTTTTCATGATTTTGGAGGACATGCTATACTACGTATTTTTTTCATGATTTTGGATGACATACTATAGTACGCATTTTTTTCATGATTTTGGACGACATACTCAACTATGACTTTTTTTCATGATTTTGGACGACATACTATACTATGATGTTTTTTTTTCATGATTTTGGACGACATACTATACTATGATGTTTTTCTCATGATTTTGGATGACATGCTATACTATGACATTTTTTCATTATTTTTAAGAAATAACTTACTGTGAATTTCTGCAAATTTAAAGGCCTGAGACACATGACTGAAATCTTTATCATTGAATCGAGACTCTTTCCTCGTCTCACATGTTTACCCTTTTGTCTTTTGTCAACTGTTGTCAACGACATCAGGTGATGATTCAGATCGAGACTTTTCAAGAGAGATTGGATGAAGGTGACGACACAGAGACACCTATGACACTTAATGAAAACAACCTGATAAGCTCTGTGTCAGAAATAAACTCTTTAGTGGACGGACAGTGATTGAGTTTGATGATAAAGTGACAGAAATGAGCAGGTCAAGCAGGTGAAGTTCAGAGAGGCTCCCTGCAGAAGAGTCAGGTCTGCTGGGTGGAGGACAGGGGGTGGAGGAGTCAGAGGGACAGAGGGACGGTGGCTGGAGGAGTCAGAGCAGGTCAGCCTCTGCAAGGATCACCTCCGTGTTAATTGCGTGGCTTGGAGTGTGAAGTATGACTGTCACATGTTTGTCCCAGAGACCACTCGCCATCCTGCACGTCGTGTCCACACTGCTAAAGAGTCTGAGGACAGTGAAGACTTTGTGTCTCTGCGTTGTTTGCTGAGATGAGATCTTTTATGATCTGAAACATATCTGCTGCTCAGCTCCACGGTAAGACGTCACCTGTTCTCCGTGTCCTGTGGGACACATGTGGGACACATTTATTTTTTCTCATCAGATGAGATGTGCGTCTGCAAAGTGTTTTGGTGTTGTTCTTTTTCCAGATTTGTCCTGTTTTTGTGTGGGGTTTTATCTTTCATTTTTGTGACAAATCCGTGCAATTTTTGTGCCAGTTTTTTTTTTTTCAGAGTGTTTTTGTTGTTGTTGTTGTTGTTGTTTTTTGGTTAATAATTGCACCATTTTGTGGCAACAGTTGGGCTGTTTGATGTAATTTCTGTACTTTATTTTTGTGACGTAAATGCCATTACCTGGTGCAATTTTTTGATTCAAATTTAGGGTATTTTTAGATTATTTTGTGTTTTATTTTGGTGTAATTTTTTTGCCAGTTTTGTCCTGGTCTTGTCCCATAATTGTGCTTTTGTTATTCATGCTATTTTCTTTGTTGTTGCAATTTTTGTGACTTTTTGGTGCTGTTGTTTTGCCCATTTTTTCCTGTTTTTTTGGGGGGGTTTTTTGCCAAAATTTTGTGATTTTTATGTTTAATTGTTTGAGACATATCTGTCATTTCTGAGTGAAAGTTTTGAACCAATTCTTCCAATTTTGGAGCATTTTTTGTTTAATATTTGCACCATTTGTGGCAATATTTGGGCTATTTTGTGCCATTATTGAGGACTCTGTTTGAATTTGGGTGGATTTTTAGATTGTTATGTATTTTATCTTGGTTCGGGTCATTTATTTATTTATTTATTATTTATTCATTTATTTGTGCTGGCAGCTTGTGTGTTTTTTTGTGTTACCCAGATGGTTTACTTACCTAAATGTCACAATTTGTTTATTTTTTATTAACAAATTTGTCTGCAAATTGTTACATTTTGGTGCTTTTGGTTTTTTCCAATTTTGTCGTTTTTGGCACATAGTTGTGTGATTTTGCGTGTTTAATTTTTGGGTACAATTTTTGTACCGATTATTTAAAGTTTTTAGTATTAATTTTATTTAACATTTGCACCATTTTTGGCAACATTTGGGCCAATTAAGCCACATATTCCTAACTTAGTTACCAAAACGCACATCGTTACATTTTGGTGCCGTAGTTTTTCCAACTTTGTCCTGTTTTTGTGTCATGATTGTGTGCTTTTTGTATTTTTTTTTGTATTTTTTTATGTGATATACATACCATTATGTGGGGAAATTTCTTTCCCTGATTTTGGCCACTTTTAAAATATGCTCCTGTTTTAATTGGTGCCATTTTGGTGTTTTCTTTAAAATTTAAATTAATTTTTTTAATTTAAAAAATGGTGGGTGGGTGTCAGGGGTACAGCCTTAGAATGGTTTAAGTCAGACCTGTCCGAGAGATGCTTCTCTGTTAAACTGGGCGACTCCACCTCATCCACAGCCCCTTTAGTTTGTGGAGTTCCCCAGGGATCAATTCTTGGGCCCATTCTTTTTTCTTTATACTTCCTTCCTCTTGGGCAAATTTTTAAAAAAACATGGCATGCCTTACCACTTTTATGCAGATGACACACAGATTTCTGTACCATTGAAAAAGAACCACTGTGGCTCTCTGACACCCCTGCTCGAGTGCCTGAATGACATCAAGTCTTGGCTGGTCCAAATTTTTTTAAATTTAAATGAAAGCAAAACTGAGGTAATCGTGTTTGGACCCAGTGGAGCTTCTGTTGACCCTTCCTTAGCTCTGGGCTCCCTCAGTCACTGTCTTAGAACAACAGTCACCAACCTTGGTGTCAAAATGGATACAGATTTTAAACTCGACAAACAAATAAATGCTGTCATCAAAACCAGTTTTTATCATCTTCGGCTTTTAGCAAAAGTTAAATCTGGTTTATTGTTTAATGAGTTTGAGCGTGTGATGCATACTTTTATCACGTCACATTTAGACTACTGTAATGCTCTTTATGCAGGAATTAATCAAAATGCCCTGTTACGCTTACAGTTAGTCCAGAACTCTGCGGCTCGTCTTTTCACAGGAAGCAAGAAACACAAGCACATAATCTTCATTTAGGCCTCGCTGCACTGGCTTCCTGTTCATTTCAGGATTCATTTTAAAATTTTATTGTTTGTTTTTGAATCTTTGAATGGACTGGCGCCTACGTACATTTCGGTCCACTATATAAAGAAAGTGGATTGGATTGGATAGTTGTTTCTTTTCTGTGCATTTTATTTTTGTTTTTACTTTTGTCAGAGACATTGCCATTATGACTGTGTTAATATTGTCACATATTCAGGACATTTTTGTTTCATGCTGTCACATTATTTGTGACGATGTTTGATTTCTGTGACATTTTCAGGTCTTTTTTTTTTTTGTTGAGATTTAGTGCCGTGTCCCTTTTTTTTGTTTGTCTTCATGTTTGTGACAGTTCATGTTCATGTTTGATTGTTTCAGGTTGACGGAGTTGTTGTGACCTTGAGAGAGACTAAAGACAGAGACTAAAATAGACAGAGGACAGACAGACAGAGACAGAGGGCAGACAGAGGATAGACAGAGGATAGACAAAGGACAGATAGACAAAGACAAAGGACAGACAGACAGAGACAGAGGACAGACAGAGACAGAGGACAGACAGACAGAGACAGAGGACAGACAGAGACAGAGGACAGACAGAGGAGAGACAGAGACAGAGGACAGACAGAGGAGAGACAGAGACAGAGGACAGACAGAGGAGAGACAGAGGACAGACAGACAGAGACAGAGGACAGACAGACAGACAGACAGACAGACAGACAGAGTCCTGGTGGGTGTGATCATGTCTCCCAGGCGGATGGAAACCAAACCAGTGATCTTGTGTCTGAAGACGCTGCTGCTGGTCTACTGCCTCGTCTTCTGGGTGACACACACTTATTTATTTATTTATTTATTCACAGTTTGATTTTCTGTTCTTTCTGATGACACGTTTACTTTTTATTGATAATACTAATAATAACAGGTGACCTCAGATATCAGGACACGTGATGATGTGATGAGGTCAGAGGTCACCTGGTGACTGCTGTGGGTTAAACACTGTGTGTGTGTGTGTGTGTGTGTGTGTGTGTGTGAGGATGAGCCTCGTCTCTTCTTCACATCCTTCTGTCAGTTTGTCACTCTGCTGTTGGAGCTCATGACACGGTCATGTGACACTGACTGACTCACACACACACACACACACACACACACACAGATATCTGTTGGTGTGCTATTTTGGTGACAGAACTGAAGGTAAGGATCGTCCTCATTGGCTAACCTGTAGCTCCTCCCCCTCAGGTGACAGGTGTGGTCCTGCTGTCAGTTGGCTTATGGTGGAAGTTTATGTTGGGCCCCTACACGCTGCTCATCTCCAGTGGCCCCTCGAATGGCTCCTACGTCCTCACTGCCACCGGAGCCGCCATCGTGCTGTTCGGACTGTTCGGCTGCTTCGCTACCTGCAGGGGGCGCCCCTGGATGTTACAGCTGGTCTGTATGTAGTACTGACACCACCTGCAGGGGGCGCCCCTGGATGTGTTTTTACAGTCAAAGTTCTTTATATGTTTCAACCTTTAAAGTAACTGTAGCTGTCAGAGTAATGTAGCGCAGTGAGTAGAAGTACTCGAGTAAAGTGACAATGACATCAGTACTTGAGTGCAGTACTACTTGAGTAAACGTACTCTGTCCTCTCCTCAGTACGCCGTTTTTCTATCTCTGGTCTTCATGACTGAACTCATCGCTGGAATCTCTGGGTTCATCTTTCGGCACGAGGTCAGAAATATTAAAATATAGATTTCATATTACAAATGCCGCTTTTCATGATGACATCATTCTGACATCATCCTGTGTGTGTGGGTGTGTGTGTGTTCAGATCAAAGGGACCTTCCTAACCACGTACAGTGACGCAGTGATGAGGTACGACGGTCGAGATGACAGGAGTCTGGCTGTGGACGGCGTCCAGCGCAGAGTCAGTGTCTGTCTTTATGTTCTCCTGATGATGTCATCCTTTGGTACACACGTGTTTATTCAGTGATGATACAAACTAACCTTTATTTAAACATGATCACAGACAAGTCACACACCAGCTGGATCAGTTATCAGACGAGTCACTTCCTGTCTCTGTGTCTGCAGCTACACTGTTGTGGCGTGTTTAACTACACCAGCTGGATCAGCAGCGTATATTTCCCCGTTGGTGGGATTCCCGCCAGCTGCTGTATTAACTTCTCTGACTGCAGCACCGCTGACCTGAAGAACGCCACCGTGGCTGCACGCAAAGTCCACAAACAGGTGGGAAACACACGACACACACACATATTCAGCTCCTGGGTCATGTGACGGGGAGAACGTCCCCTGATTGGATAGAATCTGATCCATCAGTTGGAGCTCCATATAGTTTGAATCAGAATGTTAAAATTTGACTTTTTCCAGATCTTAAACATTTAATTTGATCAACGAATGAGTGAATGAGTGAATGAATGAATGAATGAATGAATGAATGACTACAGTATATGTCCTCAGGGTTGTTATGAGTTGGTGACGTCCTTCATGGAGGGGAACCTGGGAATCATTGCTGCAGTCACGTTCGGTGTCGCCTTCTCTCAGGTTAGGACCCTCTGTGGGAGGGGGAGAGGGGCAGATATGATGTCAGTATTGATTATTGATCATTATCAGCTGTGATTGTCTGAAGGTTAAATTATTACACAATATTTTAACTCTTAAAGATCTGATGTGATCACCAGAGTAAAGTAGGATGAAAAGAACAGTACATCACATTTACAGCAGCTGCAGGTCCTGGTTCTGTCCTGTAGGGGGCAGCACTGTTACACAGGGTCATGTCCTGCACTGGAGACATTTATGTTTCAGATCAGAGGACGATCATGAGAGCAGGGTTCGGAAATTCCAGTTTTATTTCCTGGTGTTTACATCATAATGTGTTCAAGAACTCAGGACACACAAGCTTCTGTTTGAACACACACGTCTTTCAAGTGATCACAAGTTGTGGAACATGTTTATGTTTATGTGTATTTAGAAAGGGACAGTGCACATTAATGAACATCACTGAAGTCATGTACATGTGCCACATTTAACAACACAGACTCGTTTTCATCTGCAGTCCCAGTAGGCTGATGATTGAAGTGTTTATAAGAAAATGACATTAAATAACAGAAACATGGAAACACAGATATAATCAAACATAAACAGATACAAACATAAACAGATACAAACAGATATAAACAGACAGCACAGAGCAAACGTATAACCAAAGACAAAGCACATAATGAGGCACACAAGACATTAGCAGTATTAATAACACAATAACCATATAATCTAAAACATTAGGAATGTCCTACACACAATTACAACGTGAAGCACACACACACACACACACACACACCCAAGAGCACAAAACAAAGCACATAAACATGTGTGACGTCTCAGAGCTGCTCTCAGAGCTCAGCTTTATTTTATCTGCAGTCAAAGAGCAAAATCATCACAGGTAGTACTCTCTCTGAAAAAACGCCAGACGTTAGCTAGCGCTGCACGAGGAGTCATTTTTACCAACAATAAAACACATGAAGAGCTGAGCTCATAAAAATTAGACAAATAATATCAAACAACAAATTCAATTAGTCATTCATCTACTGTGACTCCTAGAAATGTAATATGAGGAACCTGAGTGTTTCTAATATCGTCTGTGAATTATTTAGCTTCTTCTCTAGTATAGTTTTTACTTTTGTTAGAGATTTTTATTAAATGAGATTTTTATATTGACAGAGAGTTTGTTCATCTGAAACAATTGAGAGATTGATGATAGCTCGAATCAGTTTGCTAACATGTTCATGAATGTCATCAGCCAATGAAAGAGGCAGACGCTGGGTAAATCGTTCGTATATATCAGAAACAAGAGAGGTCCAAGGGTGGTACCCTGAAGTACCCCACAAAGAAGCTTAGCTCTATTTGAATGTTTTGTATTTACAGATACATATTGTTCCCTGTCCTTTAAATTATTAATCAACCAACCAATTAACAGCAACATCAGGAAAACCATATTTCTGTAGTTTAGCAATAAGGAAATTGTGATCAGTGCTGTCAAAGGCTTTAATAAGATCAATGAAGCAGAGTGCAGTTAGGATATTCAGCTTTATAAATAAAATTGATTGATTGAATTGATTGAGGACACTGAACATCTGTCTTTTTGGGACAGGTGTTTCCAGCGTTAGCTGTGTGGGACAGGTGTTTCCAGTGTTAGCTGTGTGGGACAGGTGTTTCCAGCGTTAGCTGTGTGGGACAGGTGTTTCCAGTGTTAGCTGTGTGGGACAGGTGTTTTCAGCCTTAGCTGTGTGGGACAGGTGTTTCCAGTGTTAGCTGTGTGGGACAGGTGTTTCCAGCGTTAGCTGTGTGGGACAGGTGTTTTTGGCGTTAGCTGTTTTGGACAGGTGTTTCCAGCGTTAGCTGTTTGGGACAGGTGTTTCCAGCGTTAGCTGTTTGGGACAGGTGTTTCCAGCATTAGCTGTGTGGGACAGGTGTTTCCAGTGTTAGCTGTGTGGGACAGGTGTTTCCAGCATTAGCTGTGTGGGACAGGTGTTTCCAGTGTTAGCTGTGTGGGACAGGTGTTTCCAGCATTAGCTGTGTGGGACAGGTGTTTCCAGTGTTAGCTGTGTGGGACAGGTGTTTCCAGCATTAGCTGTGTGGGACAGGTGTTTCCAGTGTTAGCTGTGTGGGACAGGTGTTTCCAGCATTAGCTGTGTGGGACAGGTGTTTCCAGTGTTAGCTGTGTGGGACAGGTGTTTCCAGCATTAGCTGTGTGGGACAGGTGTTTCCAGTGTTAGCTGTGTGGGACAGGTGTTTCCAGCATTAGCTGTGTGGGACAGGTGTTTCCAGTGTTAGCTGTGTGGGACAGGTGTTTTTGGCGTTAGCTGTTTGGGACAGGTGTTTCCAGCATTAGCTGTTTGGGACAGGTGTTTCCAGTGTTAGCTGTGTGGGACAGGTGTTTTTGGCGTTAGCTGTTTGGGACAGGTGTTTCCAGCGTTAGCTGTTTGGGACAGGTGTTTCCAGTGTTAGCTGTGTGGGACAGGTGTTTCCAGCATTAGCTGTTTGGGACAGGTGTTTCCAGTGTTAGCTGTGTGGGACAGGTGTTTTTGGCGTTAGCTGTTTGGGACAGGTGTTTCCAGCATTAGCTGTTTGGGACAGGTGTTTCCAGTGTTAGCTGTGTGGGACAGGTGTTTTTGGCGTTAGCTGTTTTGGACAGGTGTTTCCAGCGTTAGCTGTTTGGGACAGGTGTTTCCAGTGTTAGCTGTGTGGGACAGGTGTTTTTGGCGTTAGCTGTTTGGGACAGGTGTTTCCAGTGTTAGCTGTTTGGGACAGGTGTTTTTGGCGTTAGCTGTTTGGGACAGGTGTTTCCAGTGTTAGCTGTTTGGGACAGGTGTTTCCAGTGTTAGCTGTGTGGGACAGGTGTTTTTGGCGTTAGCTGTTTTGGACAGGTGTTTCCAGTGTTAGCTGTTTGGGACAGGTGTTTTCAGCCTTAGCTGTTTGGGACAGGTGTTTTGACATTAGCTGTTTGGGTCAGGTGTTTTCAATCCCAATGTACTGATTCCGACAGAGGTCCCATTTATACAACAAGGATTTCAACCGAAAACGGCATTTTGACTGATCGTTTACATGACAGCTGTGTTTTGGGTGCCTGAAAATGCAACATTTTGAAAAAGGGTTCCAGAGTGCGATTTCTTGTAAACAGCAGCGTCTCTGTTGTCATGTAAACTTTCAGTCTGCAGTTCCTCAGAGACTTTTCACTAGGCATGTGCGAGGAAGTCGACCATCACAACAACATGGCGGAGTCCCTCGCTCTTTTTGTGCTGCAAAGTGTAGATTTACTGTAGCAACTCCACCTCATCGTTCGTCCAGACAAAGGTTTGTGCTGTTGCCATTTTGTTTGTTTCTACATCACCGCTCTGTGACCCGTGTTGTTTCAATACAAAGTCACACCACCATCTACTGGCCTGGTGTGTTTACTACAGCACTTTTGGCCATTTTTGTGGATCTGTGTGCACACCGATTGTTATCAAAACATTGTCATCTGAATGCAGAACTTTTTTCAAAATGAAAATGAGAAACGTGTATACATGGCCTGAGTATGTTTACCACACTGAGGTGGCGACAACAGCAACAATATAGATGACAATTTGTGCAGCAACCTTAAAAAGAAACAAGTTGCTTTTGGCTCTTATATACGCCAGCGACTGCAGCTTGGCGATTAATGATCAGACATTAGATAACTTTATTTAAGTCAGAGCATTCACTGATTTCACACGCACTCACGCTGCGCTGCTGTTTCTCACGCTGTCAGCCATCATCAGTGTTAGGCAGCAGAGCGTTACAAATCTAACAACATTCTCAGTGGCGTGGTGGTGACATCACTCCTGTCTGAGTCTGCTCAGTAGTGAAGATGATTATCTGACAGAGCTGTGCAGCAGAAAAGACTCTGAGCTGTGGAGGTCTGGATAAAAGTCAGGATAATAAAACTGAGGATGAGTCACGAGACTGACGCCAGCAGTCACCAGGCACGTAGATGATAGGGTTACGTCTATTAATGACATCATCACTGATGTAACATGTCTCCTGTCTCAGCTGATCGGGGTGTCTCTGTCTTGCTGTCTGTCTCGTCTCATCAACGCCAACCAGTACGAGATGGTGTGACAGGTACCGCACGCACACACACAAACACACACATACACATGCGCACACACACACACACACATGCGCGCGCACACACACACACACACACACACACACATTAGTGTCCATAACACATTTCGACTCTGTATTTTCCTTCTGTTACAGAAAAGAGACGACGATACCTGTTACCATGGAAACCTGTCTGACGCTACTGACGTATTTATTTGAGCTCTGGTTCTGATGTTCCATCAGAGTGACGCTGTGTGTGGCGTTGTGTGTGGCGTTGTGTGTGGCGTTGTGTGTGGCGTTGTGTGTGGCATCCTGTGGAGGATCAGGAGAGGAAGACATGGATAATAATTATATTAATGATAATAACATGAAATAAACATGTTGATGTGAGACGTCTCCCGACTGTCTGTGACACTGTGATGTCATCAGGTGCGTTTACAGGTGTTAACATCAGTGTGATGAGAACGTGTCACCTGTGATGTTGATGAGGAGCCAGCAGGGGGCGGAGTTACTCCTCAGACAGGAAACAGCTCACCGATGATGTCAGACAAATAATAAATAAAATAACAATCTGACATCAGGTTAAATTCTGTATAATCATCTTCACCTGTAAACACTCAGAAAATAAAGCTTTCATTTGTTTGTTTTTTCACAAATTATTAGTTTATTTATTTATTTTACAAACATCACTCTCATTTGTTGAGGATGAAAATGAAAATATTTAATTATTTATTCATTAATTTATTGATTTGACAGAAATCACTGGTATTTGTTGAGGATGAAGAGCAGAGGAAATCAAAATATTTAACCATTTATTTACCACCAGATTTTTAATTTTACTGTCTCTTGAAAATGTTTTAATTTTATTTATTGTTGAAGACAGAGGAAATCAAATAATTTAACTTTATTTATTTACCACTAAATTTACCACTCTATTGTTTTTTTTTTACAATAATAAAAAACAGAAGGGCAGAAATAAATAAATAATTTATTGACCAGTAAATGTTATATTTCTCTCTCTTCTTTTTAAAAATTTAATTTAATCTTATTAATCTATTTATTAATAAGAAGAACAGAGGAAATCAAAATATCTATTTATTTAGCACTACATTTTTATTTTTAACTTCTTTTTTAATTAATTAATTTATTTATTTTGATGTATTTTTCTTTCTTTATTGTTTACAAAAATCACACATTTGTTGAGGACAGATGAAATTAAACAATTTAACTTCATTTACCACTATGTTTTTAATTCTCATTTATTTTATCTCATTTTATTTTTATTTATTATTTTCCAAAAACAACTCAGGTGTTGAGGACAGAGGAGCAGAGACATGATCTGAATTTGTGTCCTGGTGCAGTAATAATAATAATAATGATAAAATAATAACTTATCAGAAGATAATCAGTATTAATGTTCTGTGTCACAAACACAGAACTGTGATGTCACACGCTCCTGCCACACTCTGATTGGCTGTAACATCCCCACCTGCCTCTGACAGCAGACTCATAATAATAATTATCATTATTAAAATAATAATAACAATAACAATGATGATGATGATGGTGATGATGATGATGGTGATGTGAATGCGAGCAGCAGCAGAGAGTGTGCTCACCTGTGGGCTGTGACAGGGTTCAGTATAATCCAGGTGTAATCTGCTGCTCCCACCTGTCACCTCTCTGACTGGATTATCAGCTGACACACAGAGACAAACCACCACCATACCAGGACACACACAGAAGGGACGAGGACACACGCAGGGGACGAAGACACACGCAGGGGATGAAGACACACGCAGGGGACGAAGACACATGCAGGGGACGAGGACACACAGGGGACGTGGACGTGTGGACGACCTGGAGGACATGTTTTATCTGTGTGGACCTGACAGAGATGGACAGTTAGGACCTAACCCTCCGATCGCTCCTTGTGCCCCCAGCTGCTAAATGCTAACTGATGCTAAGCTAGCTTTAAAATAGCATCAACACCCTTCAGCCCATTGTTAGTTTATTTATCATAGCCTGTGACTGTGAGACAGTCTGGTTATTAAATACAGCCGTGCTAACTTAGCCCAGTTGTAAATTAGCCTGGATGAACCGAGCTTGGCTGTATTTCAGTCTAATGTAGTCTGGCTCTAGCTTTATTTAGCTGTTAGCTTGGCTGTAATTTAGCTTGCCTTCAAGTTTGTTAACTAACCAGGATGAAACCAATCTTGGCTGTAAATTAGCCTAGCCTAGGCTAGCCTAGCTTGAACATAGCTCTATCTAGCACGTTAGCTTAGCTATAACAAAGCTAAGGTATACGTCAGGCTAAATAAAATCTTGGCCTTGTTGTGGCTCAACCTGGTTATAAGTTAGCCGGCTATTTTTGGCTATAATTAGCATAGCCTAGCTCTGTTAAGGCCTGGCTATAAATAACTCTCACTGTAAACAGAGCCAAGTGGCTATACTTTAGCCACAGAATAAATTAGCTTGGCTGTATTTAGCCTAAATAAAAACTTAGCGCTAATGACCCAGTGTGGTTATAATCTAACTGGCTTTGACTTTCTTGAGCATAGCTGCAAATTAGCATTGTTATTCAGCCTGACTATAAATTAGCCTAGCTCCAGTGTAGCTTGGCTGTAGCTTTGTGCAGCTGTTCAGTTGGCTTGACTGTGAATTAATTTTATTTTGTTACAATTTAGCATGGTTATAATTTTAGCTTACCTGGAAGAAACCCATCATTAATGAAGCCAAAGTGTACATCAGGCTAAATAAAATCTTGGCCTTGTTGTGGCTCAGCCTGGTTACAAGCTTGCCAGGTGTATGGCTATAATTAGCATAGCCTAGCTCTGTTAAAGCCAGGCTATAAATAACTCTAACTGTAAACTGAGCTAAGTGGCTATAATTAAGCCTCAAAATAAATTAGCTCGGCTGTACTTTGGCCTGAAATACTTAGCCTGGATGACTCTGCAAATTAGCATTGCTATTTAGCGTTGCTATAATCCAGCTGGATATAAATTAGCCTAGCTCTATTGTAGCCTGGCTGTAGCTTTATGTAGCTGTTAGCTTAGCCTGGTTGTAAATTAGCTACCCTCGCTGAAATTTAGCATGTCTTCAGTTATTAATAACTAACCTGGATGAAACATAGCTTGACTGCAATTTGGTTGGAAATTAGTCCAGCTAGCCTAGCACTGAGTTAGCCTGGTGTAGCTTTATGTAGCTATATCTAGCCAGTTAGCTTGGCTGTAACAAAGCATACTTTAGCATAATTAATGTGTAAGCCTTGTTGTGGCCCAGCCTGGTTATAAGTTAGCCAGCTATATTTGGTTATAATTAGCATAGCATAGCTCTAATAAAGCCTAAGATTAATTAGCTAGGTTATAATTTAGCCTAAAAAAAAGTAGCCTTGCTGACTCTGCGTTGTTATAATCTAGCTAGCTGTAAGTTTGATTAGCGCTAACATTGCGTGGCTGTAAAGTAGCATAGTTGTAATTCAACCTAGCTTAGCGTAACTGTAATTTAACCTGGTTTGAAGTCACCTCAATGAAACTCAGCTCAGTTGATATTTATTTTGGTAGTGATTAGCTTAGCTGTTTTAGCCTGAATTAGTCTGGTTGTGACTCAGCCTATTATAATTGTTTGTAACTGAAGTATAATTAGCTAGCGCCACAAACAAACGTCCTCACGATGGATCCAGACAAAGACGAAGCCGAAGTGTTTTCGGACGCTGAAAACCCGAGACCTCTGAGTGCACAGGAGGAGGAGGATGAGGAGGAGCTAGAGGAGGAGGAAGGGGAGAAGGAGGAGGATGAGGATGAGGAGGAGGATGCTAGGATCTTCAATGCCTGGATGCAGCGGTACGGTGCAGGGCAACAGCAGAATAATATTGGAGAAGAGGACGGGGAGGAAGAGGAGGCAGAGGGACGAAGACCTGGGAGTAGGAGCAGTTTAGAGCCTCCAGTCCGCATGAGGGCCGACCGCCGAGCCTCGCTGCCGTGTCCGGTAAGAGAACCCAAAACTGTTACGCTTAACTCAAAGCTGGTTCTACGATTAAAGACTAAACTGATAAAGTCAAGTTCAGGCATGAATGGCTCGTGTTGTCTTTTATTTTATGTCCTGTTAGCGACACACAGCTGGCTAGCAATGTCAACATGCTAAATATAGTGCCCACTGTTCTTTGGTCTCCACTGGTTTGCTAACATTAGCCTTGGCTGTGCTACACTGCGCACTACCCAGGTCAGGTGGGAACTAACATTAGCTAGCTAGCAGCTCATTTGGTGATTACCGCTGGTAACGCCTTCCTGGTGGTGGACCACATTGCCATGGAAACATTATGCCCACCTTTTGGTCTCCGCCCAGGTCGCCATGGTGAGTAAGCTGCTTCATTTTGACCCACAAACCCCTTTTTGCATTGTTAACTATATTAGCTGTGTTGACACTGCTAATGATGCTAATAGTGCTAACATAGTAAACAATGCTAAAAGGAGTTTGCGGAGGAGACCGTAGAGTAGGCACAATGTTCACACAGCAATGCTGTTGGGCCAGGATGCCGTTACTAGCTGTAACCACCAAATGAGCAGCGGCACTGGCTAGCTAGCTCCAACCAGACCTTTGTGGTGTACAGTGCAGTAGCAAAATTAATGTGTAGTCGAATATGTAATCAGTCAATTAGTCATTTTTGACAGTTAACAGTCACCTGTTGACGTCCTTTGAATAAAGTTCAGCTGCCTATTCGGAACAACGACGTTAAAAGTTGACATGGGGTCAGATCAGAAGCTAGCAGGATCAGCACTCCAACCACATGGTCCGTTCGTTGTGGACGTTCTGATTGTAGAACGTTTGGATGTTAAAGTCATCAGATAAATAAACACAACTGGAGAAACGTGAACGTCTGAGGAAGGTCATGTGACACAATCAAAACCTCCAGAAGAGTCAGTGATGGACGCTGAAACTGAGGAGCTTCAAACTAGGGATTATACTTTGTACTGCGTCTGCTAACAGCTGTCTAGCTAGCAACACTGCTAATTCAGCCATTACTGCTAATAACGGCATCCTGACCCAACAGTGTTGCTGTGGAAACATTGTGCCCACCCTCCGGTCTCCTCCCACGTCGCCCCAGTGACCAAGCAGCTTATTTAAAGCCCTAAAACCCCCTAAGCGTTGTTTTTGTTTGTTTATTATATGTAATAAATGTTTATGCACAAGAACCAGATGTAGCCAAACACTAATTTACAACGCCTGTCCACAGGAGGCCTCATTAGCTCTGTTAGCACCGTTAGCAAGCTCAGCACTGCTAACGATGCTAACATAGTCAACAATGCTAAACGAGGTTTTAGCAGCTCAAAATGAAGCCACACTCACCTGGGCGACCTGGACGGAGACCAAAGGGTGGGTATGATGGTTGCAGAGCAACGCTTATGGGTCAGAACGGCATCACTAGCAGTAATCGCCAACTGTGCGGTGCTGCTAGCTAGCTAACGTCAGCTCCAACCCAACCAAGGCTGGCTATGTTAAAATATCACCTTCTCTGAATGGATAGTGCTTTGAGATGTGCCACTAAAGTTCACTGAGTCAGTGCAGCGGCGGACTGAAAGGAAGGCCTCTTGGTAGAACCTCTGTTCCTTTAGGGGTAACAGTAGAACCAGTCTGACCAGTTGAGTCCAGTTTATTGAAGTTGTGTCTCCAGGCTCTCCTAATTCTGAAGAACAGTGCGGTTCCCTGTGTGCTGTTTTCTGCTCTCGTTTATATTTAGCTGCATTAGAACGAGACGTTCTGCAGCTCAGGTGGCTCAGAACACTTTGGTCCAGTGGGCGGAGCATCAGGTCACTGATGAGGATCAGGGACGTGAAGTCTGGGTAATTACTGACGGGGAGAATGTGATGTTTGACTCAGCGCGTTAATCTGCTGTCAAGAACCGATCACCAGACCTGCTGACTGGATGGATGGTTAAACCTTTAGACCCAGTTACACCAGGGGTTAACCGTCTGTCTCTGTCTCTGTCCAGGCGACTCTGTCGGCCATGCAGCTGTCTCGTCTCCACTCGTCCACCCAGGCTCCGGTGACGGCGAGGGTCCTGCTGCAGCGCACCTCCTCACGCCGCCTCCTGCCGTCACCACAGGACATCGCCGCCCCTGCCAGCTCCGAGCGAAGACCCTCTCTCATACCCACAATCCCTGAAGTCATAGCGCCCGAGAGGCGGGGCCAGTTCAGGAGACGCAACGTCATGTCTCTGGTGGGTAACATACAGGGGGTACGCATCTTTGAGACTGACATGTCATTGTCATGTCTGAACCTTCACTACCAACACCTCAACGTCTTTATGCTATGCTATGAAATGGACTCCAGTAAAGTCAAAGTACCTCGTAGTGGTACTTTAGAGTACACAGTTTCATCTCAGTAATCATAATAATGACGACGACGATGATGATGATGATGTGTGTGTGTTACAGAGTGATGCGTACAGTGTGTGTCTGATCTGTCACAATGAGCTGAGTGGGGGAACCAGAGAGCTTCAGTGTTCACACACCTTCCACAAAGAGGTAACTTATATGTGCTTACAGACCCTTTAATGTCACAATGTCAGTTTGTTATCAACAGCATTAGCTAACGTTAGCTTTGACAGCACAACAAATATTGGTTCTCCCATAATGTTAACTCTTTAGCACACAAGCTAGCGTTACCTTCGACAGCAAAACAAATATCAGTTCTCCCATAATGTTAGCTCTTTAGCACATAAGCTAGCGTTACCTTCGACAGCAAAACAAATATCAGTTCTCCCATAATGTTAGCTCTTTAGCACATAAGCTAGCATTAGCTTCAACAGCAAAACAAATATTAGTTCTCCCATAATGTTATCTTTTTAGCACATAAGCTAAAGTTAGCTTCGACAGCAAAACAAACATTAGTTCTCACATAATGTTAGCTTTTTAGCACATAAGCTAGCGTTGGCTTCAACAGCACAACAAAAATCGGATCTCCAACAATGTTACCTTTTTAGCACATAAGCTAAACTAGCTTTGACAGCACAACAAATATTGGATCTCCCATAATGTTAGCTTTTCAGCACACAAGCTAGCATTGGCTTCAACAGCAAAACAATATTGGATCTCCCATAATGTTAGCTAGTTAGTGCATTCACTAAGGTTAGCTTCGATAGCAAAACAAATATTTCATTTCCCTGTGATGTTAGCTTTTTAGTACACAAGCTGGCATTAGCTTCAAAACAAATTATGGATTTCTGTCCCTGTCTCTGTGTGTCTCTCTTTCCATCTGTCACTGACTCTGTCTCTCTCTGTCCCTGTCCATCTGTCCCTGTCTCTGTGTGTCTCTGTCCCTGTCCTTATCCCTGTCTCTGTGTGTCTGTCTGTCCCTGTCTCTGTCTGTCCCTGTCTCTGTCTGTCCCTGTCTCTGTCTCTCTCTCTCTCTCTCTGTCCTTGTCCCTGTCTCTGTCTTGCCCTGTCCCTCTGTCTCTGTCCCTGTCTCTCTCTGTCTGTCCTTGTCCCTGTCTCTGTCTTGCCCTGTCCCTCTGTCCCTGTCTCTGTCCCTGTCGCTCTCTCTCTCTGTGCCTGTCTGTCTGTTTCTGTCTCTGCCTGTCCCTGTCTCTCTCTGTTTCTGTCTCTGCCTGTTCCTCTGTTCCTGTCTCTGTCTGTCCCTGTCTCTGTCCCTGTCCAACTGTCTCTGTCTGTCCCTGTCCATCTGTCTCTGTCTTTGTCTGTCTCTGTCTGTCCCTGTCCCTGTCTATCCATGCCTCTCTCTCTGTCTCTGTCTGTCCCTGTCCCTCTGTCCCTGTCTCTGTCTGTCCTTGTCTGTGTATGTTCCTGTCTCTGTCTGTCTCTGTCCCTGTCCATCTGTCTCTGTCCGTGTCTTTGTCTGTCTCTGTCTCTGCCTCTGTCCCTGTGTATGTCTGTCTGTCTCTGTCTGTCCCTGTCTCTGTCTCTGTATCTGCCTCTTTCTGTTTGTCTCTGTCCCTGTCTCTGTCTCTGTCTGTCCCTGTCCATCTGTCTCTGTCTGTCCCTCTCCCTGTCCCTGTATCTGTCTGTCCCTGCCCCTGTCCCTGCCCATCTGTCTCTGTCTGTGTTTGTCTCTGTCCCTGTCCGTCTGTCCCTGTCTCTGTGTCGCAGTGTATAGAGGAGTGGCTGTGGAGGAAACAGTCGTGTCCTACGTGTCACGTTCAGGTGTCTGACTCTCAGTCCGTCCACTGGAGCTCCACCCGGGTTAAAGTCCCCTGAACGCAGCAGCAACATCAGATGGATGAAACATAGATGAGACGGCCAATCAAAACTCGCGCCGAAATACCACAGTAACCTCACCTGTACCCTGAGACCTGAGACTCCACCTGTAACCTGAGACCTGAGACCTCACCTGTACCCTGAGACCTGAGACCTCACCTGTAACCTGAGACCTGAGACCTCACCTGTATAAATAAAATAAAAACAACAGTATATTAAATGTCACCTGTGCGATGTCACCTGTGTGATGTCACCTTAACTCTGGTTTTATTACTGTACTTATTATTTCTCTTCTTTTTTAAAATGGATCTCATTGGAATATATTTATTGTTTATTTGTTTTGTTGTTGTTTATGTGCTTAGATATTTGTGTTTTGTTTATGTTTATTCAAAGCCTAATAAAGTGTAAAAAATTACTGCAGTGGAATTTAAAAAACTTGTATTTTTATTTTCTGCACCTTTATTATTATAAATATTTACCTGACAGTATTGATACTACATATAATCAATAATCACTGATGATGTCACTGATGATGTCACTGATGAATTTATTATTAATACTGGTGGTACTGTAGAATACTGTTTTTGTATAGTAGTATTTTTATAGAATAATTTTCTATATAGTAGTATTTTTATCTAATATTTCATATAATAGTATTTTGAGATAAGAATATTTTAATCAGTAGATTTTTTTATATATATATATATATTTATTTCTTATATAGAAAAAGTAGCGTTTGTAATTTTTACTGCAGTAACAGATCAGAGTACTTCTTCTCCTTCTTCTTCTTCACCACCCTTGTCTTCTTCTTCTTCTTCTTCTTCTTCTTCTTCACCACCCTTGTCTTCTTCTTCACCACCCTTGTCTTCTTCTTCACCACCCTTGTCTTCTTCTTCATCTTTTTCGTCTCCCTCTTCTTCTCTTCTCTCAGTGTAAACACCATGATAATGTAGTATATATTCTGCCAACAGCCTCAGAGGATGACTCTAATATGTAAGTTTGATGATGACGTCATGTGAGCACATATTAGTTTTCAGAGAAGAAGAAGAAGAAGAAGCAATCGCTGTAATTACATGTCAAAAATGACTGCGTGTAGAGGAAACAGCGCCCCCTCTCAACCCAGTGTGGCCAGAGGCGGTACTGCAGAAGGAAGTGCTGCACCTGTTGACTTTTGTTTGGGAAGACGGAACCTGCGGAGAACACACACCTGTAGATACACACCTGAACGAAACATACCTGTAGAAACCCACCTGCGAACCGCTTTGAGACAGTCAGATAGCAGAGCCGGACCGGATGGACAAACTGAAGAAGGTTCTGAGCGGAAACGATGACGGAAACACCGACGGGACCGGAATCATAGAGGTAAGATGAAGCTAACAGGTTAGCACCATCATCGTCATCATCACCACCATCCTACTGCTGCTGTTACTGTTAGCATGTTAGCTGCTCTTTACCGGAAACAGCTCCAGTTAAAGTTAGTAACTCACAGATACTCAAACAGTACTCCGTCACACCTACTGCCCTCTGTTACTGAAGTAATGATACTCTAACAGCACTCCGTCACACCTACTGCCCTCTGTTACTGAAGTAATGATACTCTAACAGTACTCAGTCACACCTACTGCCCTCTGTTACTGAAGTAATGATACTCTAACAGCACTCCGTCACACCTACTGCCCTCTGTTACTGAAGTAATGATACTCTAACAGTACTCAGTCACACCTACTGCCCTCTGTTACTGAAGTAATGATACTCTAACAGCACTCCGTCACACCTACTGCCCTCTGTTACTGAAGTAATGATACTCTAACAGTACTCAGTCACACCTACTGCCCTCTGTTACTGAAGTAATGATACTCTAACAGCACTCCGTCACACCTACTGCCCTCTGTTACTGAAGTAATGATACTCTAACAGTACTCAGTCACACCTACTGCCCTCTGTTACTGAAGTAATGATACTCTAACAGCACTCCGTCACACCTACTGCCCTCTGTTACTGAAGTAATGATACTCTAACAGTACTCAGTCACACCTACTGCCCTCTGTTACTGAAGTAATGATACTCTAACAGCACTCCGTCACACCTACTGCCCTCTGTTACTGAAGTAATGATACTCTAACAGTACTCAGTCACACCTACTGCCCTCTGTT